AAGAATCTACTTGTGGAAATCCTCCTTCAACAGAAATTCATTCTGCGAGCTGCAGAACATTTAGACAAAACTGCTCATTAATTATCACAATATCTATTCTGTTTGTTCTAGTTTCTCTTGTCCTGCAGGGGTCGCTGTTCATGCTCTGAAACCATTGGAATATAAAATCAGCAGCTCTGTGAGGGTGACTAAAGTAAAATGCTAACATGTTAATAATGTTAATAGCTTAGCATGTAGAAAATGTATGATGTTCATCATGTTAGCATGTTAATGAGCAGAAATCGGCTGAGGCTCATGGGAGTGTCATTAGTTCTGAGGGTGCTAGCTATGTCTCACGTAAAGTTTTAATGGCACCGCTCAGTTCTGCTACTGAACAAAAGACTGTGAACAAAACTGAATCAGAAACGTAACAGAGTCTGGAACGAGTGTCGCTCATAAAGTTTGACGTTTAGTTTTCTAACGTTACTCATGTTCAGCTGTTGTATAAAATCAAACTGTTTGTGTCATATGGTGCATTTGTGATTTTCTGCACCGGTGGTTTAACCTTTCATTCATGTGTCACTGCACCAGCTCCCACCGGGTGTCGCTGACGAGCCTGTAGTTGAGGCTCCGGTAGTTTTCAGGGTGAATCTGCCGCTGACGCCACACCTCCTCGTACAGGCTGCGTACGACCGGAGGCAGAGGCGGGAACCCAGCAGCGTGAGCCAGCATCTGGCAGTACTCCCACTGATCTTGTTCCAAGATCAGCAGGTGGCGCTGCTCCACTCCACGCTCCACCTTGTCTTGCAGCTCCTGTCGGGTCTCGTCCTCCATCTCAGCCCGAGGCGGTAAAGTGACCGAGCCGTCCAACACAGCCAGAGCGAACTGAACCTGCAGAGTTAAAAGTGGATCAAAGAAAGAACAAACCTCAGTGTCGTCTGGCTGTGAATTTAATTTCATCTCATCACGGACGAAACGTGTGGAACAACCAGTTCATGAATATCAAGCATTCCAGTAAACCTCCTCTGTGACTTATAAAGAACTGTTTGATTTTAATTTCCCCGTAATTCAACTTTTAATGTGTCACCAAACGATTATTAAATCCAAATAAAAGAAGCAATAATCAAATGTCTGGTTCAACCCTGCATCTTCTACAAACTTCAACTTTCTCTCAGACTTTAAGTCCCTGATGCTTTGACAATAGAAACACCAAGTTGACCTGATTTAGAAAATCTGGCCACTGATTGGTTCTGAACTGAGTCAGGATGGATACGTTTCTCTTCACCTGACAGTTGAAGTTGGGGAAGGGGCAGATGATCTTGCAGATGCCAATGAAGAAGAGCGAGGGGAAGGCAGGGGGCATCAGGAAGCGATACAGGGGAGACACCATGTGGTCCTGGATTTTCAGACCCAGCTGATCTGCGTCCAGGAATGGATACTTGAAGTTGTACCCGGTGCAGAACATCAGGACGTCAGCGCGGTGCAGAGAACCGTCCTGTAAGAGGAAGTGTTCCTTTGTCAAGTCCTCTTTGATTTGACAGTCAGGAGAACCCAGAGGATCTTTACTGAACCTCTGAAGCTCAACGTGTGTGAAAACAAGTGTGTTGTCCAATGGTTAATAAAAAAATACACAAACCAATAAAAAGTTTTTAGATTAAGAGTTTTTGTCACTGTGAACAAACGGTAGCTGCCTCAGAATCAGTGCAGATTAGTGCTGAGAGAGTCCGGTCACCTGGAAACGAACGCTGCCATCGTCCTCGATCGCCACCACCGGACTGGACTGTCGAATCCTGGGAGGAAGAGGGAATGTGAGACGAGGACGACCATGACTCAGAATCACCTGGAGACACAGATGAACAGACATGTGACACAACATCCTCAGTCTGTTAAGCTGCTTCAGACTGAACTCCTCAGGTCTCTGGATCTGCTCTGGAGGACAGTGAGACTCAGTTTGTCTGTCTCCTCCTTCACTCCTGTATAAAGTCTAA